TTCCACCACAGGCCAGCAGGCAGTTCTGGCTGACAGGCATTGCTGCAGTTTTCTGGTGCTAAAATCCAGATAATCCAAGGTGCTTAAAGTAAAGATTCTGCTTGTAAACTCTAGTTGCACCTACACTTACTCTGCTGTGTGCTTGCAAAAACAGCATTACTTCAGGAAGGTTTCACTGCATGAGCACCAGGGCATTTCGATTTTTTGCAATGTCAGCAAAACAGTGGGGAAGTATGATCAGTGCTTGACAGTTTGGCTAATTCAAATGCAAATGTATAAACCCTGTCAGTCATGGAAGAAACAGTCAATTAAATAAAGACATCTCCCATGACAAGGGCAATTAAATGGGCTGCTTTTCCTCTTACTGTGCAAAGATTTTCCTTAATTCGCTGTCACTTGCTGGGCCAGCCTTGGCTTTTCTGCCTGGGCTAGAGGCCTAGGTGTGACTGTTCTCACAGGTGCCTCGCAGGCACTGAGGAGGAGGAGGGCAGGCAGGTGGGCAAACCCAAACTTCCTCTTTGCTGGGATGAGCTGAAGAAATCCGCTGCCTCAACAGAGCAGAGCAGCAGGGCAGACAGATGTCCTTCCTCTGCCAACCTCATTTACAGCCCTTCTAAAACACACAAACACGCATCAGCTGCTTGTTTCCTTGCTCTTGTATGCTCAGCCCTGGCGCCTTATCGCTCATGGAGGGTGGCTGTAAGCACACCACAGGCCTTAACCCTCTTCTGGCTGCTCTGCAAATTTGCCAAGCTTGCAGGAAAACAGGTCTCACCAACAGCTCCCACAGCTCCTGCAAATGTAGCTAGACAGATGCAAGCTCCCTGCAGCCACTGGAGCAGCTCCACAGAAAATCCGTTTCTAATACAGTTAACTCTTTTTTTGCCTTTTCTCACACACTCACAAATAATTTAACTTTAGCCTGATGCGATCTCATGACTGTACACAGAGCCAACGTAAGCACCTGGGGATACTTTGGCTATGCTGTACCTAACCAAACCTGTGCAGGCGCGCTCGTCTGCATCCATATGCATGCTGAGCACCTTGCAGCCTGGGAGGCTCCCGCTGCAGGAAAAGCTGAGATCGGCGGTTTGTCCCTCTGTTTCTCCTTGAGAAAAGTTTGCAAGTGAGCAGTCAATCCTCTGGACAGCCACTAAGTCTTGGCAGGTCAAACTGCTGAGCAGCTTTAGGTGCTCTGTGGTGGAGGTTGGCACTTAGCTGAGCATTTGCAGTCACCAGGAGATGATAGCTCTGGTATTATTAACCCTGCCTAACACACAGGAAAGTGGAAATGGAAAGAATAAAAGTGTACCTCAGGAAGGTACACCCTTGTGCCTATGATGTGGGCTGTTCAAAAATCTATTAAAACCGGGCCACTCATCTTCAGAAGGTGATCCAAAGCAACCAAGAAGCAGCTGAGGTTACTTGGCTTGTTCAGCTTGGAGAAGGCTGAGGGGTGACATCATCACAGTCTACAACTTCCTCAAAGGGGGCAGTGGAGGGGGAGGTGCTGATCCCCTCTCTCTGGTGACCAGAGATAGGACACAAGGAAATGGAATGGAGCTGTGTCAGGGGAAGTTCAGACTGGACATTAGGAAAAGGTTCTTCACTGAGAGGGGGGTCGGTCACTTGGAACAAGCTCCCCAAGGAAGTGGTCACAGCACCAAGCCTGTCAGAGTTCAAGGAGCATCTGGTCATCATCACTAAGCACTCTTAGTCATATGGTTTAGTTTTAGGTAGTTGTGTGAGGAGCAGGGAGTTGGACTTGATGATCCTTAGGGGTGCCTTCCAACTTGAGATATTCTGTGATTCTACAAGATGATTTGTACCATTGTTGTAACATGTAGCATATGTGTTTCACCTCTCTCTCTCTCATACTGTAGCTGCCCATCACACCTACCCACTGCCTTTCGTCTTGTGTTTCGATGGCCACCTCTTTGGAAACAGCCTTGTTGTATCACACTCCAATGCTTTTCTTTACACAGCAGATTTCTGATGCCAGGTCTCTCTAGGCATCACCACAATACCTTCAGTAATGCCAGCAGTTGTTCCCACTTGCTTTTGTCAATGGGAGGACACTAGAACTGAGGGGGTTTTATTATTATTTTTTGCAGAAAATTAATTACAGACAAAAGGTCTGTGGTGCACTCACAAGTCTCCCTTTCCTCAGAGACAGTGCCATGTGATGCTATTCACAGCAGATGGTTTAGGAGGTTTTTCTCTCCCATGGTCCATGGCTTTGATTCATGAGAACAGGGACATTCACATGCATGTGAGCATCTCAGGTAGGGTTCACATCACTGAACATTAACCACCTCAAACAGGGGCATCTAATCTGTGCTAAGCAGCAAGGCTTCCTCTATACTGAAGGAGGGACATAGATATCCTTGACATGGTGATTTATTCTGTCTCCTCTGGAAGCGTCTCTCTTCATGGACTAGGGAACACTTTGCTGACTATCCTGGAGTAGCTCCTCACCTCAGACAGCAAAAGCCAAGTGAGATGAGCCAACCCTGAGCAGCATTACCTGCTGGACTCCTGAGTTGTCATGATACCCTGCTCTCACCACCATGCCCCAGTCTTCTGCAGGTGTTTCTCTGCAGGGCTGAGCTGCCGCTCATCCTTTGTACAACACCACATCTGACCTCGGAAATGGTTGTCTGCGAAACCACCCCACGTGCTGGGCTCAGCATCTCTCTGCCCCAGGGGCCACAGCAGGGTATTGGGCTGCCAGTCCCTTCACAGGCCCAGGCAGGCATCACCATGCTGGTCACAGTCAACTCTCATCTTGGAAGTTTTCCCTGCACATTTTAAGTTTATTTTCCTAATGATTCTGACATGATTAATAATGGGTCCTAGAGTTCAGGGTGACAGTTTTAAGAAAATAAAGATAGACTAAGAGGCTGTGAGCTGACAAAATATAGACTGTATTATTTTGTAACAAAATTATCCCAGCACTGTTGCTAATATACCAAAACAGAAACTTCAGTAAACATAATAGATAAGGCCCATTTGTGGTCCAATGCACAGCATTTAAGATTCATAGATCTAATAAAGGTAAAAGTTTTGTTATTATCTCCTTCTGCAGTGGACAATAGATGCATTAGCAGAGAGTAAAATAAAACCTTAGAAATGGGAAGATAAAGTCTTGTCCCACAGGCATGCCTGTCTCCTTTATAGCCAAGTGGCACTGAAAAGTGTGGTAACATTTGATTACCAATGCAGCATGATGGTTAACAGGATCCAGATAAAGCTGAAGCTGAGAATTTAAAGTCACCAAACCCCAAGCTTGGCACAGCTGCTGTTTTCTGTTCTGCTCACTCCAGGCAAAAACCGCTGTTGATGTGCTGCTCAGTAAAAGCATTTGCAACGTTTACCTTATGTGGTATGTGATCAGATAGCAACAAATCACTCTAACATAACCTTCTTTATGATGCATTTTTCTTTTCCCTGACACTCTTTAAAACAACTTACATTACAGCTTTGGAAAGATGAGTTTCCTGGAGAAATACTTGTTTTCCTAACATTTTCTTCAGAGCAGGTGGGGGGGCTCCAGCCACCACATGAAACTTGGGAGTGAATGTGTAGGTGGTCCTTTACTAGAGGATTTGTGGACTTTTCCTATTTTCTCAAGTCTTTTAGAGCAAATTGCTTGAAGAATTTTGTCTACACATAGGCCAGTGTTTCATCTGCTATTGGGACAGACTGCTATTTTTATACATACACCAACATGGAAGAGTTAATAAACATATTGACCATTCTGTCTCTGAAATACTATGGAGTCATCTGCTTTCATTGAGACCACATACTGTATATTGAAATACGGGTATGAACTACCTTGAAAACTGAACAAAAATAGTCTGATATTTTGAAGTACGAAGTCAGGAGAGACACAGAGCAGAATGCAAGGGACTACCTGAAGCAATCCTAGTTTCACTTCTTTGTGACCAAGAAATACAATCCCCAGGTCTTTTTTGAGCAAAACAAAGGTGAAATTATTTTTCTTATTGGACATCCTGGTAGTTCTGTGAGATTTTATAACTTTAGCATGGTGACAATGTATTCCTTAATGCCTTTCTGAAGCATCCAAATTAGAAACAAAATATTCTGGCTTCTTTGACGTACGTAGGAGTTTCTAGTAAAAGCCAACAGTCTAATAAATACTTAAAACCTTTCCAGAAAGGTAGGCTTCATCCTTCCAAATAACATTCAAATTAAAATGTCTTTTGAATTTAAATCTGATTGGTCTGATACCATTTTCCAAAGCCTCACAGAAATCTAAATTAGAGCTGGCTTATTAGAAGCATATCATTTGTTAAAGTGAAACTTGTTTTCACATATTCTACAATATCATAGATATTACATGTTATTTTTACCAAACATTATTGGAAGATGAAGTTTCTGAACCAACAGCACAGAAGCACAGTTTTGATTGGATAAGGGGCAAACGGTTTAATCAAGGGAAATATACTGGTTATAGTGAACTGAGATGCCTGGCTTCAGGCATCCTCATTTGAATATTTGGAATATATTTCATGAAATATTGCCTACATGTAATTAGCCTTAAGGAAGCAAGCCGCTAGAAAGAATTGATTCTAACTGCACATTAAATTGCTGCTCCAGTGCTTTCACACTTCATGAAATATGGATCAATTATCTTTTTGGCAAATATGAACACACTATCTTTTAACAGAGCTTCATTAATGGCATTTTTTCCCTCTGGTCTTTAGCTTGATCTGCTCTTGTTTTTCTTTTAATTAAGCTAGACTATTAGCTAAGCTGCACAAACATTTAGTTTAACCTAGAAAAAGTATCCTGTGTTCAGTCTGCATCCTCCTCAAGTTGTGTGCTCAGAACCACCAGAAATTAACTGAAGTTGTTCTTTTTTCCTCATTAGATTAAAAATATACTTGTTACCTGAAAATATGCATTCATAATCATGCATTTTATGGAGTCATAACTATGCAGGCTTCTTTTCAAGGCTACAGCAGCCAGCTTACCTGTCAGCCGAGAGAGCAGTGAGAGTAAAGACTGACACCCCTACAGAAGTGAGCTGTATGAAGGGGATAAGTTTGCATCCAGTTCTGCCGAACAGCCACTCATCAGCAAGGTACCTGCTGGCATCCACGGGCACGCAAGTCACTAAAAGCAGCAGGTCTCCCAGAGCCAAACTGGAGATGAACAAATTAGGGACATTTCTCATGGATTTCACAGTACAGAAGATCTTAATCAAAGTGATATTGCCAATAAGGCCTATCAAAATTATGATCCCATAGATGGTGGGGATGGCATAGAGGAACGCTGGGTAGAACCAGTCGTCACCGAGGAGGGAGAGGTTTGCACTCTGGTTGACAGAGATGTTGTAGAGAATGAAGTTATCTGTTTCTACGTCTAGCAGAAGGCACTCTCCAGATGCCATTGTCTTACTTTGCTTTTCTCAGAAGACACCTTTCTGCTTTGAAAATCCTCAAATAAATTTCTTGCTTTAATTTTGCTGCTGCTTCCTGGCTTTAAACAGTCAGAAGAGTTTAAAAGTCATATCACTTTGTGCCACATCTTGACAATAAACAAACCAAAAAGCAACTGCAGCTTGCTCAAGACTACTGTTTCCATAAGGTGAAAGGAGAATGTCTTTTAGCATAGTTTGAATCCTGAAACTTGCTTTTTCCTCATTGACTTGTCTTGCTGTTAGGTATTCCTGAGCTCTGGAAGGCCATTTGTCACATTCAAAGACCAGTAAGTGGGAGGCATTTTCAAAATCGAGGCTTGTTAAATTCCTAGCTTCAGGTCTGCCGAGGAGAACTGAGTCCGAAACAAGGGAATTACAAAAAGCAAGAACTTTTGGTAGTTGCTGTCACGCTGCATTGCCAATTTCTCCCGGCTTTCAGCACCTGCATTCACCAGCTGGATTTAAAGTGAGGAGAAAGCAGGGCTCCGCTGACGGCTCGGATCCTATAGGCAGGATCTTCTGGACGTCAATTCTTCCCCTGCTTCCCATGATGAGAGCAGGCTTGCTTAAATGATTGCGGTAATTCCGGAGGAGCCGCCAGCGAGCGCCGGAGAATGCCAGCCACCTACTGGACAATCTAATCACTGCCTGGGTAGAAGGGGAAATAAAAAACACACCAAAATCATCGTTAACTCTTTAGATGAAAAAAGAAAAAAAAAAATCTGCTCATTTATAGGTCATGAGATGATGTTCACCGCCTCGCAAAAAAAAAAAAAACCAAACCCAAACCAATTAGTTTATTTCACACTGCAAATAATGTGATCAGAAAAGCAATCACACCTTCTTAAATAAGAACACACATATTTTGTTTGCACTCAGGTATTCAGTTGTTCCAATGAAAGAGAATAATGATATGAAGCTGAATTAATCCCCCAGGGCAAATGAACTGAATAAAGCCAGTTAAGATAAAATCAACATTATAGTTAAGGTAGGCAAATGCGTATTAGCACTATGCACCTGCAGTTAACCAGGGAAGCCTGAACTCTGCACATTTTTTGTTAATGTTTTAATTTGGAGGTAAAAGTACCGAGGGACAAAGTTTACTGTTCAATGCAATAATTTCTATTTATGAGGTACCCATCATACTGGCATCTATAGGTAATGAATGTTTAGACGCAGCACAGAGAGACTTGTTTGGCTTATAACAGTCTGAAAATGCTCTTTCTTAGAGCTTAATTAAGTTATAACTATTACTGATGCTTTACTGCTTTATAACAGATAGGCTATTTATGATTATATACGAGGACTTTCTGGACTGTGGAGAAATATAGTTAATTTAGAAACCAGCCTGAAAAATTAAATGAAGTTGTAATTTACATTTCCCCTTGCAATTGCTCATTTTTACAGGCAAAAGGATGTTTTACCAACTGCTAGAATTATTTGGAAGCCGGGGGGAGGCTATTCAAATCAGACGTTAAAGTGTGATCACTGGTTTCTAGATAAAAGAAGCATTTCAGGACACCATCTGGAAAACCTCCAGGAGCTCAGGAGCTGTGTGCCAGGGTGGGATTCTGAGCAGGAGACTTCAGTATCTGGTTTTCTGCCTCATTCTTGTGAGCCGGGTCAGTGTGTTCAGCTGCTTTGCCACTGTTCACTTTAAGTCAACAAAGGACTTATGTGTACCCTTAAGTTTAAGTAGGGCTACTTATATAATTTTTTCAAGCCAAACACCCGAAAGAGTGCTGCACTGAGAGCTCGAGGGAACAGAGGAGAAGCCAAATTTTCTGGTATTCCTTTCCTTCAAAAGCCTGTTTTTAAAAATAGACCTGAGGTTGCCACCGTTAAAAAAGGAGGACGCAGAGAGCTACTGTGCACGGCCTGATCAGCACGCACAGGCGAAAGAGCTTCGGTGGGTCAGGGCCAGCTCTGTGCAAGGCTGCCAGGTTGGGCAGAGGCCAGCTGGAGGCAGCACCGCATTTGGCACAGCAGGACATAGCTAAGGCATGGAGAGGCACCGTGGAGCTGCTGAAGCAGCCCAGCCACATCGCAGGGTGGGACACTTCTCCCACAACTTCCCCCAGGATATCTGGGAGTCTGGTCAGAGGAGCTGCATGACAAAGGGATGCACACTTCCCCCTGTTTGCTTTCTGAGCTTTGTGATAAAGCAGAAAGGATGCTGCTGGAAGCGAGAGGAAGAAAGGGGAGCAGCCTCTCGGTGTAATCCTGATGGACGCCCGTGCCCAGCAGCCTGGTCAGCAGTTGGCAGTGACCCGCTCTGAGCAGGAGGTGGGACCAGAGACCTCCCCTGGTCCCTTCCTGTTCAAATGACTTGGTGACTCTGGGATTTGTAAACCCACCGCTCAGAGACATAACAGCTCTAGTTCTCATCATGAGCCTTTATTCTTCCAGATGGACAACAAAATGGTCTGTTTGCCAAAAACCTTCTAATAGAACCACTAACTCATCATTCATCACAGTTTAAACTCTTCTACACTGAAATCTCTCGTACCGTTACATACCAAACTATGTGGGGTAAGCAAAGCGAGGCAAGGGAAGTAATGCTAGAACCACTTTTTATCTTCCAGCTGAGTGTGGTGTTGATCACTCTTTTTTGAGGTGAGTGTAGGCAAATCACCATGTCCCAGGTGTCTCCATCAGTGACTGAAAGGGCTCTCATGACCACTGGCAAGATTCATTTCACCTTCACCTTTGCAAGGCTATTTCATTCCAGGAAGCACTTCAAGTTTACAGCTACAGCTTTCTAATTTTTGGTTTTGCCAATTCCAGGCTTCAGGTTCTAGGACAACCTCTTTTGGCCACAGAGAATGAGAAAGTGAAAAGACAAATGCAGAAAAAGGGTGGGGAGGGGAAGCCAGATCCTGTGAAGCTTGAAACTTAGATTATAAAAACATTCATTATTTATGTCAAATGTAATAGACTGTTTCAGGGCACATGACTACTACCAACACGAAGGACACAGGTTTTATTTACAATTGCCTAGCCTGCAGACATTTCCCCAGAAGTAACTTAGAAATGTTGAGGATGTTTCCCAGAGATGTTTCTGTCTTGAAATAAATTGCATATGAGTGGTTTTGTTTATTATAAATGGTGTACCTTTTTCGTCATGTCTCTCTAGCATTTATCTTCCCTCAGCAGGCAAAATGCTTGGACATTTGTATGAGCATAGCCACCTCTGCTGTAGTGTTCATTTCAAGCTCCCAAGCCTCTCTCCAAAGGAAGGTAAGCATCAATACCCATATTTCACCAGTGGAGCAACCTTCATGCACACACACACACAAAAAGAAGTGACTGGCACAAAGTTACTGTTGGCAGAGCTGTGAATAGAATAATGCAGGTCTCCTGAGTCTGGTCCCGCATTATAATGGTTTTCTGTTGGACAATGAGAGATTCCACAGATACTTTCAATAGATGATTTTTTTCAGCTCTCAACCTTTATCCAACCTCTAAATGACAGCTGCAAAGAGACAATCTTCTTACTCGTTAATTGTGCACAATGGGGGAGATTTGTAAAAGAGCTCGATGGGTGAAATTTTCAAAAGCAGTTATACCTATTCAAAAGGTAATGAAATTTAGGCTCCTACATTGCTCATGAGCTCACCACTGAGAAATGGAGCCAGAGTTTTGAACAAATGCAGTCTGCATTGAGAAAAGTACAGGAGGACCCGTGTTTCAAAGGCACTTGGAGAGCTGCAGCTGCCACAGTGACAGCTACAGGCAGATTTTCAAAGAGCCCAAACAGACAGTGTACCAAGGTCTTTTGAAAGACACTGATCATTTATTCTACATACCTAAATGGACTTATTTTGAAAATCTAGTGCAACAGGGGCTTTCTGAGCCCCTGTGAGGTTCTATGGGAGATGCTCTGGTGATCGGAGCCAGCCACCGCCGCTGTGGCCACTTGCAGACCCTGAGGCTGGCTAATGGCACAGCCATCACCTTGGAGGGCAGGAGCATGCCAGCTGCACCGGGGTGGGCAGCCCATGGAGTATCCTCCACCCCAGGCACCGCCAGCACCCAGGGGATGGGGAGGAGATGGGGATCATCTCCTGGAGAGCATGGCTCTTGGCCAGGGGTGTCACATTTGTTATCTTGCCACAATATGACTTTCCTTTGTAGTGGCCTCTTGCATATCTCATCAGAGGAGATGGATAAACTCCCTTCCACAGTCAAGCGTCAGGAGAGAAGTCCCTGTGCTCAGGGCTCTGCTGTTTCCTGATAACTGGATTACTGGGGCTAGGAGCCAGTGAACCAGGGATTACTCCCTGCTGAGCTTGTGGAGTGCAACATCCATTGATTTATCAAATATTCTCCTTCTGCAAGCTGTTCATCTCCCAGAGGGAATAAAGTCATGGAAAGCATCCTGCCTATGATCTCTTCAAGCTAATTCTTCATTTTTATTGCTGTCACCCCTACCTGCTCATGTCATGTTCCGTGCCTCAGTTTGCCACTCGGTTTCAGCCACCAAAGTTAACAATAACTGTTCACAAACAGGTAATTTTCTAACCCAGTCCATTCCAGGGATCTGATTTACAGCAGAGCATTACAGACAATTAATTACATTAAAATGTATCTTTTTTTTTTTGAGCAGTGATCTGGGCTCATACCTGCATGACTGGAGGTCAGAGGGGCTGGGGAGGGAACTGAATATAACTCACAGTCTAAAGGTCCCCTGAGAGGATACTATATGCTGGTTTCTTGCATATGTAAAAATGGAAATGAAGCATTGTCAGGTTTTCTCCTTCATCACTCAGCCTTGCTGGTGCACAGCCTGTACTGCAAATGAAGTTGCAGGCCACACAATGTGAAGTGCTCCCACTGTGCCTTTGAAAATAGCTTATTCATCCTAAATTAGACCACTCCTTCAGTTTGTTATTGAACTTCATAAATCCCCCATTCACTCCCAGCATCTCATCATGACACACAGTCATCAAAAACTGACACAGCTGGAA